GCGCCCCTTCCGGGAACAGGCTCGAGTCCTCGGTGACTGTGACAAGTGGAATTTCACTCTCCACTGAAAACAATCCCCAGGGCATTGTGCTTCTGAATCCAGGGCTGAGGCGGCTGGCTGAGCAGTATACATTCCCTAAATTATTAAAGAGCCCGAAAGAGCTGTTGCACACTGAGGTCACCAGTGCGAGTCCCCAGGGCAGCAGGTAGGTTCTCAGCGAGGCAGGGGCGCCAGACCCCCTCCCCCATCGCTGCTCCGCCGCCAGGAGGCCGAGGGTCTGCCCCAGGGGCACTGGCAAAGTCTCCCTGCTCCCTGGGTGCTCGGCTGACCCTTGGGGAATCAGGAAGGAACTCAGGGCAGGGAGTGAGCTCTGCACTTTGGCAAGAACCCAGCCTCCCTGTCACCTTTGGCCTCGAGTGGCAGGGCAGGGCGGCGGGTCCGGGTGCCAGGCTGGCCCGGTTTCTGGCCCTGTCTTGTGAACTTCAGCACTGTATTTACACTCCAGGCACGTTTTCATCCCCTCTGTCAAACGGGGCTCAATAATGCAGCAAAGCAGCCCGCAGCTACAGGAGCCCCCCTCTGTTTCATCCTGGGAGAACGTCCCCCCCCCGCCCCAGGCTTGTGCAGTGCCGTGGCCCCTGTTCAAAGGCCCTGGGAGACTGGGGTCTAGGGTGTATCGGGCGCCTGGAGCACTCAGCATGGAGGCATCCGCTAAATGCTGCTGTCAGAGTCCCTGACTTGTCTGTCCACCCGCCGCCCCCCAGCTTGCCTCACCTGGCGCAGAGCTTTCTAGTTCTCCTGCTCCTCTGAGGCAGCAGTCGCCCCACAGGCCCTGAAGGAGGCCTTTGCATTTACCGATGGGGCCCGAGCGGAAGGGAGGCTGATAAAGATGGTGGAGGCTGAGGGGGAAAAACCAAGATGTTGGAGGCTGGTGCAAGTTTTGGCCTCCAGGATAACTTCTGGCAAGGGCAAGTTCTTCATAGAAGGCCCTTGGGCTCAATGTTTGATGAGAGGAATGTCTGATGGAAGGTTCCAGAAAGATAAGGCTCTATATCACCCACATGACAGCCCTTCTGAGTGGGATGGAGGGATGCTTACTGAGGGACATGTCAGGCTGGACCTGGAGACATGGAGACAGACCCCGGTGGAGAAGAACTGGGCTCTGTTCTCCTGGCCTGTGTGGGGCCACGCAGGCTTCCTGGAGGAGGAAGCACTCAAACAGGAGCTTGAAGGATGAGCAAGAGTTCGTGGAGGTCCTCTGTGGGCAGCAACGCCACTGTGGAGAGGGGCTCCCCTCCAGGGTCCAGCAGGCTGAGCCCCACCTGTTCTGGGGACAGAGTAAGGTGTCTGAAAGCAGAGCCCCAGTGGGGAGGCCTGGATCTGGACCCCGGCTCCACTGTGCTCTAATGTCCCACCTGGGCCAGTCACATGGGGGGTGGGGTGGGAGGGAGGAGTCAGAGAGAGTGTTGGGGACACCTGGGTCCAGCCATTTGGGGGGTCCACTTCTGTCTCCTTAGAATGATGTGTCTTCCTCCCTTGTTTAACAACCTCTCAGGGTATTTTAAGGTATCAGGCCAGGGCTCCTCCTGGGCTCCTGAATCCTGCTGGAAACCTGGACGTGGGGGGAAGGGAGTCCTGGTTGACTAGGGAACAAGGACACAGCAGCCCCTGGCCCAGCTGGCAGCCTCTCTGCCATGACTCTGCTGGGAGAGAAGCCAGGGCAGCTGCCTGAGAACGGTGCATGTCCTGGGCTATCGTCCTTGCTGCTGGCATCTCAGACTCTTGAGATGGACGTGCCTTTGGGTTGCTTTTAAATGGTTTCCTTCCAGATAAACTGGCTGCCCATCTCCAGGGAAGGAGACTTCGGCAGCCCTGAGGCCTGGGGTAGCCCTAACCCCGCCCATCCTGGGGGCCTGGGGTCTTGCTGGCAGCAGACCAGCTCGCCATCTGCACGCCAGGAGCCCGGGCCAGCTCCGCCGCTCCCACGGCCCCGGCCTCATCGGCTCCCTCTCGTCCAAGGATGCACTGAATGAGGCCATTGCCACAAGCCCAGCCTGCTCTGCTTCGTAATTGTCAAGAGAGACCCCCATCTGACAGACAGCAAAAGTGAGGCTGTATGAAGCAGCCAAAATTAAAAGAGAAACAATGGTGCCAGAACTGATGCTTGGGGCGTGGACCCAAATCTGGAGTCCTTTGTACAGGTCAGGCGGTCCCAGGTCAGGATGGATGTGGTAGACCTGAGAACACACCGAGAGGGGCTGAAATGAGAAGGGGGGCAGGCAAGCCATTGAAAGGGGGGAGGGGGTGCCTGGGTGGCTCAGTTAGGTGAGCATCTGACTCGTGTTCATCTCAGCTCAGGTCTTGATCTCAGGGTGGTTGTGAGTTCAAGCCCCATGTTGGGTTCCGTGTTGGGCTCTGCACTGGGCCTGGAGCCTACTTAAAAATAATAATAATAAATAATGCCTTAAAAAAAAGAAGGGGGAGCCTTAGTTTGGGAAGGTAAAGATAGGGAGTGAGATCAGAGGTTGTGCCGCTGGGAGTTTAAAGCAAACTTGGACTAGTTGACCAAACCTCAGAACTGCTGGGAAAGTGTGGGAGAAGTGTAGTAAAGCCCTACCTCATGTCTTTTCAATTTATTTTTGAGACAGAGAGAGACAGAGTTCGAGCAGGGGAGGGGCAGAGAAAAAGGGAGAGACAAGAATCTGAAGCAGGCTCCAGACTCTGAACTGTCAGTACAGAGCCTCATGTGGGGCTTGAACTCACAAACCATGAGATTATGACCTGAGCCAAAGTCAGATGCTTAATCAACTGGGCCATCCAGGTGCTGCCCTCAGCACCCCCTTCCCCATTTTTTTTTTTAAAGTAAGCTCTACATTCAACATGGGGCTTGAACTCATGACTCTGAGATCAAGAGTTGCATACTCTACTGACTGAGTCCACCAGGCACGCCTTAAAGGTCCACCTCTTTTTTTTTTTTTTTAAGTTATTTTGAGAGAGAGAGAAAGAAAGAACAAATGGGGGAGGGGCAGGGGAAGGAGATAGAGTCCTAAAGAGGCTCTGTTCTGATGGCACAGATGTGGGGCTTGAACTCATGAACTATGAGACCATGACCTGAGCTGAGATCACGAGTTGGATGCTTTACCAACTGAGCAACTCAGGGGCCTCAAGACCCGCCTCTTAACTGCACAAAACACAATTGCCCTGAGAGGTGAGAGGCTAACTAGGTTCAGAAAGTGTTTAGAGCAACTCACAGATGAATGTGCCACAAAGCAGGCTTATGATGAATGTTAGCGGAGTTCTCCAGAGGAGAAGCAGCACTAGGAGACAGAGAGACTGCCAGGTTCCATGTTCAGCATCTGTGGGCTGGAGACCCAGGGGGAGTTGACCGTGTATGTCTCAGTCCAAGTCCGAAGGCTCCAAGACCCAGGAGCATTGATGGATGGGAGAAGGATGTCTGAGCTCAAAGAGAGTACAAATTTGCCTTCCTCCACCTTTCGTTCTATCCAGACCCCCTGTGGATTGGATGACGCAAGGCCACCGATACTGGTGATAATGACCTTTACTCAGTCTACCTATTCAAATGCTAATCTCTCCCAGAAAAGCCCTTACAGACCTGTACTAGCAGCTATCTTGGCATTCTTTAGCCCAGGCTGGTTGGTTGACTCATAAAATCAACCATCGGTGCCTGCCTTGTTCAAATGCGTCTTCCAGAGACAGAGCTGGGCTGGGCTGAGCTGGTACCACAGAAGGTTCTGGCACTCAGGCATGACCTAGTCCAGTCTTCTCCATGAATGGACATTCTCCTCCTAGTTCCAGACACATTTCACCCAAAGCCCTGGGCTCCATGCTCAGAGATAGGCAGGCAAGGTGCTTTGAATCTTATGGTCTCAGAGGGTTTGCACAGGAAGAGAGGAGCACAACCACTCTGCTGGAGAGAGGAGGGAGACTTTCTGGGAGGTAAATGGACATCATATTTCAAGGCTTTGAAAATGTGTGCCCTCCCTGATAACTTTACTTGTAGAAGTGATGTAGAAATAAACAAGGATACAGATCAAGATCTAAGGAGAAGGCAGTTCATCATGGCATTATTTACAACAACAGAAAGTGGGGAACCTCAGTGACCAACAGTATTAATAAATTATGGCACAACCACGTAATAGCGTTTTTTTACAGCCGTTAAAATAGTTTTCTCAAAGAATGTTTGAGTCAATGGGAAACGTTCACGGTATGTACCACAGGTTAAACAAAGGAGAATACGAAATTGCATATAGCCATTCAATCCGAAAGAATCCTGTGATGATGGAAATGTTGGGTGTCCATACTGTCCAATGTTGTAGCCCCTGGTCACATGTGACTACTAAGCACTTGAAATGTTTGGTTGGTGTGCCTAAGAAACTGAAGTTTGAATTCTTTTTTTTCAATTTTGAATTCTAATGAATTTAAAATTTAAATTTAGGGGCACTTGGGTGGCTCAGTCCGTAGAGCATGCAACTCCAGATCTTAGGGTTGTGAGTTCAAGCCTCACTTTGGGAGTGGAGTCTACTTAAAAATTTGAAAATTAATTTTCATTTTGTTTATTTAAGTTTTAAAAACATTTATTTATTTTTGGGGTGCCTGGGTGGCTCAGTTGGTTAAGTGTCTGACTTCAGCTCAGGTTATGATCTCACAGTCTGTGGGTTCGAGCCACACGTTGGGCTCTGTGCTGACAGCTCAGAGCCTGGAGCTGCTTCAGATTCTGTGTCTCCCTCTCTCTCTGCCCCTCCCCCGCTCACTCTCTATCTCTGTCTCTCAAAATGAAATAAAGACATAACATTTTTTTAAAAGGTAAGAGAAGTTTTTAAAAAATATTTATTTTTGAGAGAGAGAAAGACAGACAGACAGACAGAGACAGAGGGCGAGCAGGGGAAGGGCAGAGAGAGGGAGACAGAATCTGAAGCAGGCTCCAGGCTCTGTGCTGTCAGCATAGAGCCCATCGTGGGGCTTGAACTCATGGACTCAGATCATGACCTGAGCCAAAGTCAGTCGCTTAACCAACTGAGCCACCCAGGTGCCCCTATTTATCAATAGCCATGTGTGGTCAGTAGGCTCTGTGTTGAGCCGCACAGGTCTAGTATAATTCCATCTGCCTTACGAAAAACTATGTAAAAACATGGGAAAACATCTGAAAGTATCCCAAAATGAAGATAGCAGTTTTCTCTGTTAGTCAGATGATGAGAGATTTAAATTCTGTTCAATTTTTCTGCTTTCGGCTTTTCCAACAATGAACAGCTTCCTTCTATAATCAGAAGGGAGAAGAGAGGGGAAAAGTCTGGTGCAGGCCCAGCTCGCATTGGCAGGAAGACCTGCGCCGGCTGGGCCAGAGGGAGCTGGGGAATCTGCCTCTCTCGGGGCTGGTTTTGACAGGAGTGTTCCGCCGCTGGTGGCTTGGGTCTTCTCCAAGCTGCAGGGCAACCTGGCTGGCACACGACACACTCAGCTTCGCTGGCGTGAGCACGTGCGTGTGTGCACGTGGGCCGTGCCGTCTGTTGCCGACCTGGCAGCAAAGCGCTGCCTCTTCAGCTGTGTTTGTTGGGACTTGGGTGGATTTTGTCGTGGGAATTTCCTGCTTGCTTCCCCAGGCCTTACTTCGGCTGCTTCTCCAAGTTGCTGATAACTTCACGGGGCTTCCCGCTCAGTTCTTTGCCGGGCTTCCAAAGACTTTCCAAAGGAGGCTAAAGTTCCCGCAGGTGGGTCTCAGCAGACGGTGGCGAAGAAACCTGGGCTTACTGGTTACGGTGTGCTGACGCGGCAGGAATTTAGGAGTTTGAATTATTTGAAGTGGCGAGAATAAAGGAAGGTGGAATTCTCCTAATGCATAGCTGGAGGCTTTTTTATTTTTAATAAGCAGGGAGGCAAGGAGCAGAGGTTCTCCAACTTCAGAGTGCATACGCACCACCTGACTGCCTGTCCGAAATGCAGATTCCTCGTGTTCGCTCCCTGAGATTAGTTCATCCTTCCTCTTTGTTTTATGGATGCAGAAATGGGGCAGAGGAGGCAGGGGGCCAAGCCATGTGCTCATGCAGGTCACTCTCTGATGGGCGAGTCTCACCAGATTACGCTGCCTCTAGGTCACCTGTGGTAGATGTTCGGTGTTAACATGCAAAAATGGGGTCAAACCAATTCTCACATCATCTGGTTGTCCTACGGTCCGATTCAGTTCTGTCACTGACTACCCAGAGTTGGCACAGACCCCCCTGCCCCCCCTCAAGATGCAAGGTTCAGTCACACAGGACTGCCCCCACTTCAGACGCCAGCTGAAAATGGGATGCGCAGACTACTCACACCCCTGCCCAGCCCACAAACACCCCCAAGAGGTTTGATAATTTGCCAGAACTCACAGGCTCAGGAAAGTGCTCTACTTATAGTTTGTTATAAATGATACAAGTGAAACGGATGAAGGTGGCCCCAAAGGGCACAGCGCAAGAGCCTGTGTGCCTGTTGAGTTGGGGTGCGCCACCCTCCCCGATACGTGGATGTGTCCCCCGACTCAGAAGCTCCCCAGACTTTCTGGTTGAGGCGTTTTTATCCAGGTCTCATAACATAGGCACAATTGATTAAATCACTGGCCTGAATGGACTCCATCTCTGGCCTCTCCTTCCTCCCCAGAGGTCCGGGGGATGGGGCTAAATGTTTTAAACCTCTAGCTGCAGGGGTGGTTTTGCGCTGGTGACCAGTCCCCATCCTGAAGTTATCTAGGGAATCTTCCATGAGCATACGAATTCCAAGGGTTTTAGGAACCCAGAACTGCACCCAAAACATTATTTTTTATTACACCACATGGGGTATTTTCAGTTTTGTGGAAAACACTACTGGAATTGCAGAGACAAAAGAGGTATGTGCAGTGATGCTTATTCTCATCATGTCCAGCTCCAGCTGTCCACAGCGCGCCTAAGGACACACATGGGTCATCTGAGACACTGCTGGTGTAGGAGGGCTGGGGGGGATGTGATTGGGAATGAGCAGAATCCCCTCCTTATGTCTGAGGACCTCACAGCCTCAAATTCAAAGTTCCCACAATGGAGCTCCATGGCAGAGCTGTGACAGAACTGCGAGGTCCGGCTGAAGACAACAGTAAAGATGAGGCAATCTTGGTGAAGCGTCCAGAACACAGAGGGTCAACCCTGCCCCAGACTCAGGGCCCCCAAGAGCTTCCAGACTTAAAAAAAAATGTCTTCCATTTGTCAGTCCTGGTGCCTCAAACACAGACAGGCTTAGGTTACGGCAGCGCAAAGATGTCAGGCGGAAGAGGTAAAGCCAGAGAGCCGGGCGGCAACGGTCCACACCGAGGAGCCTGCCCACGCCTCTCACAGCAGGCACCCACAGCAGCCCCGTGTCACAGTTGTGGCCCAAGGGCCACCAGGACAGCTCAGGACGCTGGGCGGAGCTTGAAAACGAACAGCTCCATATCTTCTACTAAAAAATCCACTCAGTGTCTGGTGTCTTCAAATTTTAAGCTCATTTATCTGGGTCAGGGACCATTTATTTGTATCTAACAAGTCAAGGCCTGCTGCAGCAGCTTTCTGGCATATGGCCTGTTTGTGTCCTGTGTGCATTGGTCAAGACCATGTGGGCAACGGGAAGGCTGACTCAGCATTCACCAACCACTGGGTGTGCCGGGGGAGGGTACGGTGCAAGCACAGACCCCTCTCCCCTCCTAGCTGCCCACCCTGCTTTTCAGAGAAAGGGAAGTTGGGGGGGCACCTCTTAGTTCGCCTCAGTGAGTCACTGGTCTCGGGGGAGATGATCCAGGAGCCATCTGGGAATATCATTCTGGAATGTAGGCTCATCATCACCGCAAACCCTGCATCCCTGAGCTGCCAATCCATTGGACATCTCTCTGTAAAATGAACCGGGTAATGCAAGTTTAAATGTGACCTTGTCTGGGGCGCCTGGGTGGCTCAGTCGGTTAAGTGGCTGACTTGGGCTCAGGTCACGATCTCACAGTTCGTGAGTTTGAGCCCTGCGTCGGGCTCTGTGCTGACAGCTCAGAGCCTGGACCTGCTTTGGATTCTGTGTCTCCCCCTCTCTCTGACCCTCCCCTGCTCACACTCTGTGTCTCTCTCAAAAAAAATAAACATTAAAAAATTTTTTTCTTAATGTGACCTTGTCTATTTAAGAAAATATGTCTTGAAATACTTTAGAAAATAAAGGTATCATGAATAATCTAAGAAACATCTGTGTCCTCACCTCCCAGTTCAAGATATAAAACCATATCTGTAAATGAAACTGCTTTTCTGTCTCTGATCATATAACCTTCCCTATCCCATGAGAGGTAACTGCTATGCTGAGGTTAGTGTCTATCACCCATTCATTATATATAATTATATTTATATGTATGTTTTATATATAATTACATACTCTCCATATTTTGAACCAAGATATAATATCTTTTGCAAGTTAAAATATGCTTTTGAGGTGAGATTCACCTTACATAAACCCGACAATTTTAAAGTATAAAATTCAGTGACATTCAGTGCATTTGCAGCTTTGGGCATCCACGACATGTTCACATTTTTGAACCTGTATAATCGGGATCATACATTAGGAGTTCTGCTGGTTGCTTTTTGCATCAGCGCTGCCTATGAGGCTCATCCGTGCCGAGGCATGCAGCCCTGGTCGCTTGGCTCTCTGCTGTATGCCATTCCACCACGTGACTATTTCACACCTGATTCTTTCTCTGAACGCGCACTGTGTGGTGTCTAGGTTTTCATGATCCCCGACAAGCCTGCCTCCCTGTGCTGCTTCTCCAGGATGTCAACCTACAAATAAAGTTGCTATGTCGTGGGCTGAGAGCAGCTCCAGGTTAGACATCGCCAGAGTGTTCCTCAAAGTGCTAATTTATACTCACATAAGCCTGGCTGTCTTGGGGAGCTAGGGGCCAGGTGCACAATTACAGTAACTCAGCACTTGGATCGTGTGTACTTCCTTTACTAAACCACTGTGAGGTAGGCAGAGCAGGACTACTCACCCTTCTCGGCAACCTTCTGAACAAGGAATCTTGAGACTCAGAGGGACACCACCTGGGTCACGGCACAGTAGCACTGATTTCAGGTTAGAGGCGGGACAGGCAACCCCAATGTGTCAGACAAGGGTGGTGCTCTCCTTATGCCATGTTAATTTCTCCCTGTCCCCTCCCCCTGGCAGCCGCCTTGTACCTTACTTAAGCACAGATCACACAGTTTACCTCATCAGCTTTCTGAGGGAACACCACAATGAAAGCTCACTGGCAGACCATGGACAGGAGACCCTAAGAGAAGGTCTCTGTAGTTTGGGCCATTCCACGTGGCGGGAAGCAGGGCAGAATCTTCTGGACTGGAGTGCCTGGGTAGCTCTGTTGGTTAAGCGTTTGACTCTGGCTTTCGGCTCAGGCCATGATCTCAGTTTGTAAGATCGGGCCCCACATTGGTCTGTGCTGAAGACGCGAAGCCTGTTTGGGATTCTCTCTCTCTGCCCCTCCCCTGCTCGCATGCTCTCTCTCTCAAAATAAATAAAAACTTTAATAAGTAAATAGCTCATGAGAAATGAAAAGAATCTTCTGGACTTCCACATTCCATTTCCTTATTGTGGCCGAGTTGCCCATGCACAAAGGTCGCATCTGACAGTACTTGGGGATCTAAGTTGCTTTAGGAGAGCAGAGAAAATGGCTTTGCAGAAAAGTTCGAGGTGGGAACTGCACACACCCAGGGAAGGAGGTACAGTGTGAGAGGCATTTACCATCCCTCGACTCTAAGGAACTGTCATCTGGGGACCCAGTCCCTCCTCCAGGCAGCACTCCGGAGGAGAGGGCAACGGGGTGTACCTTGCTTAGTGCTAGGTAAGTGTTGCCCTGGGGCAGAGCTTAGGCGTGAGGCGCACCCCCGCAGGGGCCTGTCTCAACACGGCCCGGGGGCAGGAGGGGGGGGTGTCTAGCGAGGCACCCCTCCCACTGCAGAAGGTGATGCACAACCGGAGGCCAAGGTGGGGTGCCCACACCTGTCGTGTGCTCCAGACACACAATTTTGGCACTGGGCCGGCCAGCTGCCATTTTCCATCGGCAAGCGTCCTCACCTTTGGTTCTTCTGTCTCCTCGCTCTCTCCTTTCCAATCTGCATCTTCCAACAGCAGCTGGGATCCCGAAGGCGAGGAGGGGCCACTTAGCCTCGCTCTCCCCGCCCCCATTTTGCCCTTCAGTCACCAGATGTAGGTGTGGTGACAGGGGCCTGGCAGTGTGACCTCAGGCGGGTTTCCTCTTCTGAAAACCGAGGAGGATCCACAGAAGGCCCTGGAGGAAGGCCTGCGGGGGGGAGGGGGGGGCGCTCCACCCCTTGTCCTCCAGGCCTCCTAAGCCCCGCAGGGTACAGTTCTCAGGGTACTTAGCTCTATATGGGTCCCCTCTTCCCCAGAGCCCTTCCGCCCAGTTCCGAACTAGAGCGCCGTGTTCCTCAGGAAATAGGTGAGCAGAACCGCAGGAGGAAGCTTGTTGTCTTCTCGGGCCTCCTGCGGTCTGGGGGCAGATTTTTCAGTAATGGGAACGGACCGGATGCCCTGGAAATCTGACACACTCATCTGGGACGAGAAGACAGAGACTGACGGCACAGCAAGGCCAGGAAACAACTTTCAGGGATTCTCTAGACTCCGTGGCCCAGCCAGGAAGTGTCCTTGGGCCGGTCTCCTTAGTCACTCATGCCATGGCCCGGGGGCGCTCAGCGCCCCTGCCCAGCTGCCTTTTGGCACCGCCTCAGTCTTTCCACTTCCCACACACGTTTTCCTTGACAATTCCTGACTCCCGGATAAAGCAAAATCATTTCCTTTGGGGGTTGGGCAGAAGAGTTTTCACTAAATGTGGATGTGACGAGCTAGATAAAATACTGCATGCTTGTTCTGAAACATTGTGGGCTACACAGTATCTGCTGGGGGCCAAACCAGGCCATTGAAAAAGGAGGTTTTCTTTTTTTGTTTAAAAAAAGAATTTATTTTGAGAGAAAGACTGAGACAGAGAGGGAGGGGGGAGGGTCAGAGAGAGGGAGACACAGAATCCGAAGCAGGCTCCCGGCTCTGAGCTGTCAGCACAGAGCCTGATGCGGGGCTCACAAACTGCGATATCATGACCTGAACCGAAGGGGGACACTTAACTGACTGGCCCCTAAAAGGAGATTTTCAACAGACAATGGTAACACCTCTGTTGGCCCCACCACCCAGCCTGGCCTCACTGGGCTCACCAAGGCCAGGCATTCGCCGAGGAAACTCCCAGGCCACAGAGAGCGAGGTAGAAGAAGTCGGGACAGGTGGCAACGCTGGCTGGGAAGGCAGGTCCCACCAAGGGCACAGATGGGGCTCAGGCTGGAGCACGGACGACTAAGACGGCCCGAGGTGGTCTCCGCCTGCCTCAAGCAGCCCCAGGAGCGCCCAGCTCACCCACTCCAGATTCCAGCACCCGCGGAATCATGCGGGTCTGCTCATTACTGGCTGGGCATTTCCTTCGTGCGCTCACCCCTTAGGCCTCTGCCGGGTCCCTGGCGAGCCATAGAGGCTCACTCAGCCAGCTGCGGGCGGTCAGGGCTGAAAAGGCTCCTGTCACGGGGCCCAGCTTATACTTACAAGAAACAGCTATTCCCACCCGTGCCCAAGCACCGGTCTCGCTGGCAGGCTCCTGCCCCTTGGAAGGGATCCACAATAGTATGTGAGCACACGGGTCAGAGAAGCCTGGGAGACAAGATGACATATAGTCTATAAATGGGTTTCCCGGTTGTTAAAACAGGCACAGGAACTTAGGAGGCGGAGAGCACCAGGGGTCCCTACCACTGCATTCCTGGCCACTGTCAGACCTGCAGGGTGGGGAGCGGAGCTTCCAGAGGCTGCCCCTTCTGTCCTGGAAGAGCCGGGGCACTTCCTGTATACGGCTCAGTTCTATCTCTATGGCACAATTAAAAAAAAAAAACACAAAAAAACCCCCCAATTCATTATCAAAAACTCAAATCCAAATAAAAATAGAATAGTATGAAAGATTCGATGTATTCCTCATCCAGGTCCAACAATTTATCAACACATGGCCCATCTCTTTTCATTGCTGAGCCCACCCACTCCTTGGTGACAATTTTAAAGACCAAATGGAGAAAAGCCTGTTGGTTTATTACAAAGAACTGAGTGTTGTGGGTACCGCTGGTTTGCTGACCTATCACCCATCCCTAATCTCACCCCCCATCTTCCACTGCCCTCCCCTACACCTGGGGGCAGTCAGATGACCCAGCTATGGCCAGTGAGACATACATGAAAGCCTACTCCGAAACCTGAGGGTACACGTGTGTGCACATACACAGACATGTGCACATGTATTAGAGGAAGCCGCTTCATCAATATGAACTTAGTTCAACACAAGTGGCTTTTATTTTTTTTAAGATTTTATTTTTATGCAATCGCTACACCCAACCTGGGGCTCAAACTTACAACCTTGAGATCAAGAGTCGCACAATCTACCGACTGAGCCAGCCAGACGCCCCAATACAGGAGACTTTTAAAGAGGTTACATGCAGATCAAGAGGGAGCCGGCTAAAGTCAAGGCAAATGAAACTACTTGAAATGTGAAAGCCTGGGAACACTGAAGTCAGGATGCACAAAGTCGGGAGGAAGGGCATCTGTTACCAGAATGGTGCAGCTATATAGTCCCTGGCAGCCTGCTGGACTCTGTCGACAGGGGCTAGGCTGGAGGGGCTTTCGATCTTCCTGATTGGCTGCCTGGGATTTCCCACGTGGTGCAAGCACACGGTTGCAGTGTGTCAGGAAGGCTTGCGTGCGGCTTGGAGAGAGTGGGGTTCTCTCAACTTCCTTTTACTGTTTTGATATAAAAGAACCCAACTGCTTCTGCTTGCTGCAGCCTGCCTAGTCGACAGGGAGGGGCGGGGTGGGGCTCTGACGAGCACAGCACCTCCTGAAACCTGGTGGCTGGGGGTGGCCACCCATGACTGGGGCCTGGTGTTGGCTTGCCACGTTGGCCACCAGCTGCGTCCTGGGCTCTCTAGAAGACACATGGATGTGTAAAAAGTCACCGCGTGGAGATTAGATGTGTGCAGTACACCTGCTGAGAGAAGACTCGCTAGGTCAAGAGTTAGCAGGAGGAACCAACCTTCGTGCAGCTGTAATTTCTATCCACGGCAGGGCACAGCTGGAGAAGCCTGTGTGAGGGCTGGGAGATGAGCACAAACCGAAGGGCAATGCACTGGCTATGGTGCTCACGGACACGACTGACTTCTCTCTCCCAGCCCTGGAGCAAAGTGAGAAAAGCAAACCCGCCTGTGCAAAGAACCCAGCATGTTCTTGCAGCCACCGTCTTAATCTTGAATCTCCTAGGCCTCAAAGGTGTGAACATTTGCTAAAAAAGAAAAACCCTGACTTACAATGGGCTCAGCACCATTTATTTTGTAGGGTTCCAGGTCGTTTTTCAAGCCAGACGAGGAGCTGGCTCATGTGTTGCTGAGGCAGTGGTGTGGCGGCTGAGACAAAAAACCGTTTGAGGGAGTAGTACTGGAGGCCAGCAGGACCCAGAAGGTGATGATGCCCAGAAGATGCCACAAGGCAAGACGTGCATCTGTCTCAGTTGTGGCTCCTGCAGGACTGGATGTCCTTGCCCTGACCAAAGCGCTGGCGTGTCTTACCTTAAAGGACTTTCCTTTACTCATGCGTCCCTGTGCAGGACCGTAACTGAGCCTCACCTGTTCTTGACGCTGGCCTAAAGGGCGGTATTACCACTTTTAGAGTCTTTTATCCAAGTGGATATGAACAGACAATGGGTTCAGATGTAGCCAGTAAAATACCTTTCTGGGTAATGAGGTCCAGGACCCCATAACCATGTAGTGTTGAGGATCAGGCCTTGGTTCCCACGAGCTTCTGACCACCTACTCGAGGACTGGATGGGGGACCCCAGGTGTGTCATTAGCTCATCTCAACCAGAAGAGGTACTGGGGTTACTCATACCATGTATAGACCAGAAAATGGAGGCTCAGAAAGCCACGCTATGGCCAAGGTCACATCTGGTAGATGTCCAGGCAGGCACTGGCTCCCTGTCTTTGGAACCCTACCTTCCCCTAAACCTGTCCACCTTACTCAGGATGCCCAGACACACACACACCCCAAAAGCAAGTTGTGGGGTTTACTGCTTTATTACTATGAAGTTTGGAATTTAAAATTTCCAAAGGAGTATAAAAAAGAAAGTCTTTCGGAGTCTTCTTTGACAAACAAAAAAAGGAATTACTGAGATGGGATCACATCTTAAACTGATTTGAACTCTGGGAAGAGGAGAAAAGCCAAAGGAGGAAACCCTCCCGAATTCAGCAGTAGCCTGTGCTTACTTTCAGCCTGAGCTTACACCGGGAAATAGAAATCTCGTTCAGGAAAGGGGAAGAGATCGGGAGAGAAGCACCAGCAGAACAAGAACAAAACTGCCCAGGGACCTGGCCTCCCCCGCTCCGCCCCCCGCTCCCCACAGGTGAGCCTCCCTCGGGCTCTGGGGCAGGGCTGACTTCAGAAAGGGCCCAGAAATTCATACCCAGGCTGGTCAGCTCTGTCCCCCAGGGCCAGCCCAGGCAGGCCTGGGGCTTCCCTGTGGCCTTCACTGCAGAGTCAAGGAAAAGCCAGTGGGGCCTTCCTTTTCACCAGCCTCTTGTAGGACTAACCTTTATTTTTTATTTTTTAAGGACAAACTTTTAAAAGTAAAATGAATGAAATCACGTGAGGTCAAGATACAAAGAGAGAATTCAACGTAAAAAAGACCTGGCTGGGAAACAGCTGATGAGAAACACCGGAAACATTTCACAGACCCACAAGAAGCTCACATTGTAAACAGGATTAAGCTGCTGCTGATTTCCCCCTATAACATCAGGGTTTCATTTTGCTCAGCCTGAGATCTCGCTCGATTTCAAACTGCCTGTGGTCCACTCGGTCTAGAAAAGCCTTCCGTTCAATGTACCTAGAAGAAAATATAAAATGTTTGTCAGCAGAATCCTGGAGGAGAACAACGCTGCCCCTGCACTGTCCCATCCCCCAGGTGTAAACAGTCCACCGACCGGCGGGATCACGCAGTTACAGAGAATACAAATAGATTACCGGAGTGACCACCCACGACTCCCTTAGGAACATCCAAGCCACTTGCATTTGGTCTAAACGAAGATGCTTCTGGTTCAGATGTCATTGAAAGGAAAATGAAAAAAAGAAAGCAACAACTTATCCATGGCTCTGCTGCTGAGGCAGTTTTGTAACAAGGTTTTAGGGAAAGAACACAAGCTTAGTTAAGCAAGGTTCAGCGGGTGGCTCTGTTATATATTAGCTGAGCCACACTGGTCAAGGACTGAAGATCTCGGAGCCTCGTTTTTCTCAACAGCAACACAGTGATGCCATATTTCCTGGTCTTAGTGCTGTGCTGAGCCGGTGGAAGCTGGTGGAAGCTACGCATCCTGCATATGTACATCAAAATGGGGAAAAAGGCACATCTGAAAACAGAAGAAACAGGGTCTTCGTGGAAACTACTTCCTGGGGCTGCGGTGAAGCTCAAGAGGTGGACTGTGGTGGGGAAGCAGACACGGGACAGAACAAGCTCGCCTTCCGTCTATCACCAAGTGGCCCGTCACTCTCCAGAGGGGGCCACTAACCAAAAATCAACCAAAAGGCTCTGCCACACTACAACCATCACCCCCTCACCTTAGTCCATCCACCCTGGGAGAAGACTGAGATGGGAATCAGTGTTCTGACAGCCCTAGCTGCCCCCCAAAGTTCAGCAGAAAAAAAGAGGTGAACCCTGGTTAGAGTGGAATTTAAGGCATGTTTCAAATGAGCCATCACCCAGTGCTACCTGTCAGAGAGTGCCTGGAGGCAAGAAAGGGGAAGTACATGGCTTTGAGCATTTGTGGTCTTTCTTCTAGATTTTCCTTTAAAGAGGAAGTGATACCTAAATTAGGATGCTCACTGAGCATGAATAATGGCCTTATAGGTTCCTAGAAGCTGTGCTAGGTCCAGCTGACCTTGACAGAATCAAGAGTGAAGCCAGGCTGGGTGCTATACCGGCAGAACTCAGGTTTAGGGAAGGAGTCAGGCAGCCAAGAGGGGCACATGTGCAGAACACAACTGAATTCTCAAGGGCAGCCCAGACAAAGGCCATCAAGGCAGGCCTGGCAACTCATTTCCCCATTCACGGCCATCTGCAGCTGCTAACAGGATCCAGCCAAGAGCTGGCCAGGAACAAAACTTCTACTGGACACGGACTCCTCCCACCCGCCCCAAGACAGGAAAGGTGCCGAGGATGAGAGCAGCTCTGATATTTACGATTTGTTTGACTTTGGGTAAGATACCTAAATTCTGTGCCTTATTTTTCTTCTCTGTAAAACAGGAATAAAAATGACAATATCTCTCTGACAATGCAGCGAGCCTGTGAGAGGTGCTTTGTAAATAATGAAAGAGAAAACAGCTGAGCGTTGAGGCATTCTTGCTTCCCATGTGTGCCTTAACTGCATCACTACACAGCCTCAGACCTGGGACAAGTGGAACAGGATCAAGAGACCAAAAGCTCCAGGAAGAGCAAGGGGTTGGGGGCAGGCCCCTCCTCCAAGGTGGCCCAGGCAGATGGCCTATTTAAATGGAGCCTCAGGAAATTTCAGGCACCTTACGCAGGTTACAGTCCCAGAACAGAACTACCAGCTGACGAGCGCAATGGCACTTTTCTGGCCTGTGCCCAGCACTCCTGGGGGACCCAGCCTGACTGGGCCTAGTCCGCTGGGAAGCCAGGGTGTAGGGGGGGCCCTCATCCCTTCCTGCTACTACTGCTCTATGTGGCCCATTTAAGAGGAAGCAGCTCCTTACTTTCATTAATAAAACATGCTAATAGCATCAAAACCTAAGGGATTTTCTAACTTTTCCTTTCAGAACCAGGTTAGATACAACAGGCTCTGACATCTTTTTGATCTTTCAACCCAAATTACTCTTCTGGTACCAACTATTTGAGATCCAGGCTCGCAAGGAGGGAGTGAAAAATGGAAGAAGAGAAGAGAAGGGTAGGAAGTGCTTCTAGGGAATAAGTGGTATACCTACACACTCCTTAGGCATCCACACTGAAAATGAAGGATGGCCCTCCACCCCCCAAGAAATCAGAGGCCTTTGAGGGTGGGAGGGTCCACTGGGTGGCCTGTCCCAGTCATCTACCAGTGAGAGGCCTCCTGCCCACCAGTCAGGGGAAGAGTGAGCACAGGCAGGTGCAGGGACATGTGAAGCAGGTCTAAGACCAAGGACACTTCCCGCTGCGTTACTACTCTGTTCCAGGAGCGCCAGCGTTCAGTTCCCCAGGCAAGCATGCTGCGCGGCACAAACAGGACAGAAAACGTGGGTCAGCTCAGGTCCCAACAGCAGGAGGTGGCGGGCAGTAGGGGCGGGCTGAATGAAGATAAAGCCCTGAGGTGGATGTAATAAGATATGCCCCTTCTTGCCTGAGAAATGCAACTGAAGAAGCAACCTGCCCACGCCACACACCCCTGCGTGCCCCCACCTCCCGCCACTGGCTAGAGGAGTATGTGAGGCCCGCAGCCAGAGTATGGCGACTGCAGTGAAGGTCTCCACCGCTCTCCTCCCATCTCACCAGGCTGTGCTAGTTCTGAAAGATGGACTCCTGGGGATCATGGACGTAGACTGGAGGAAAAATGATTTTCTCTGGGCTCTTTTTCGTGCCTCTCCACATCACAAATGCCCCTGGTTTTCAATCACTGAGACCTCTGACCTTCAGTTTGATCCCCAGCAGCAGCCAAGCCCAGTGGACCTGTTGTTCTCATTCACTCTGCAAGGATTCCCGCCCCTGGCCTGCCTGCCTCTGCCTCAGCTGACCTTGAATGCTGCAGGGAACCGGTGTGATCAGGTTACAGGGTTGGCCCGGTTACACGGCTGGCCCGGGAGTCTGGGGCTCAGAGCAAGAGCAGCAACTCTTTGCTGTGCAGGTGACTGACCATCTTGGGTATAGGCATTTAACCAACTCTGCTGCCTGGAAAAGATGCCTGGGTGGAGACATCATTTTGATGTACCATGCCCTTCTTTTCTGGGTGGCTAATTCTTTTTTTAATTTAATTTAATTTAATTTAATTTAATTTAATTTAATTTAATTTATTTCTAAAAGAGACAGTTTGAGCAGGAGAGGATCAGAGAGAGACGGAGACATAGAATCTGAAGCAGGCTCCATGCTCTGAGCTAGCTGTCAGCACAGAGCTCGACGCAGAGCCCAAACCCACAAACTGTGAGATCATGAACTGAGCCGAACTTGGACGCTTAACCAACTGAGCCATGCAGGCGCCCCTGGGTGGCTAATTCTAATTCCAAACCAAAACCATGCTGTCTGGTGGCTGGTGGGATGGACATTTAGACAGTGAAATGGTTCAGCACCTGCTCTGGACTAGGTTCTCTTCTCAGTGCTGGTGATGGGGTGGTGAACCGGGATCAATGTATACGAAACATGACAACACACCCATACGTGGTGATGTGACTGATGGTTCTTGGGGGGGGAGGGGAGGGAGTCTTCTCTACAGAGTGGCATCTGAGTTGAGCCCTGAGTGACAAGGAAGAGCCATCATGAACCTGAAGGAGCCCTACAGAGGCTGGGCTGTCATGAGCAGGGGAGAAGGGGATAGGAGGTGGGCCTGGGATAGTTCAGTACGGACCTAGAATGCCAGGATAGGTTGAACACAGATTATAAGTGCTACCGGAGGGCTTTCAGCAGGGAAGAGAGGAAAAATGGCTTGTATACAAAAATCCTTTTAGTTACCTTTGGGGAGAAAGGAGGGAAGGGTACAGATAGAGAAACAGGGAGCCCAGCAGATGTCTGTGGCTTGTGCTGGGGTAGGGGCAGTGGGGCCTGACAAAGGGATGGACTGATGTATTTTATGAGATAATTGTCTATTGGACTTTCAGGATGTGAGCAGAAAGAGGAAATCAAGGATGACTCCTAGGTTTTTCTTGTAACGGTTGGATGGATGGTGATGGTGTCATTTTCTGAGAAGGAGTCTACGTATGGAAAGAAGGCAAGTATTCGGTTTTGGATGTTAAGTTTGATGTGTTCTTGGACATGCAAATGGAGAGGTCAACCTAGGTTGACATGGGAGTCCAGAGTGCGGTGGAAAGGTCAGGCAGGAGAGAGCTTTTCTGGGAGCCATCAGCAGACAGTGGTACCCAAGCTGTGGAACTAGTGAGCTCTCCTGGGGGCGGGGGTGGGCCTGGGGAACGAATGTGAGGACAGATGGTGGCCCAGAGTTCAGCCCTGGAACTTCCCAAGTTTAAAAGCCCAGAGAAGGAAGAGGCTAGCCAGGGAGACTGGCAGGAGATGCCGCCAAGCTGTATTTACCACCTGTGTGGAAAGCATTCCTGCCAGTTTGGCAGGAATACACCAGGAGGGAATTCAAAGGAATAAGGCCCCTGATGTGGTATGGTCAGTAATGGCAGATGGGCGAAAGAAGAGTGAGCAGAGGACTTCATATATTTATAAATACCCCAGATATCTCCCCTCAACTCGAGAGGTATATTGAAGACTTTTCTACTTTATACATGAAGAAATGGGCTAAAGCAAACTGCAGGTTGGTAGTAGATCCAGGATCTGAACTCAGTTTCAATTCAGTTTTATTATAAAATGTAAAACACACATTAAAGTGTATGAAACAGGCAAGGCAAACGAATCATCATAAAGCGAGCACTCACGTGGCCATCACCAGGTCAAGACCCGGAATGCTGGGGGCCTGGAGGTGGCCAGTGTCAGCCCGGCCAGGTGCCAGCTTGCTTGCCTTTGAAGTTTCTGTTCCCTCTACATTGTGGTCCAGTTGTGCCTAATTTTGAACTTGACACAAGTAGACTTACACTGTGAATTCTTTTGCGGCTTGGTTTCTTTTACAAAATGACTTAGTGGACAACAATGCTTTCACCTGTTTTTGACCTTTTTATATAAATGGGCTCAAGCTGCATGAACTTCTCTGTGCTGTTATATGACTGAAATTTATCCATGTTCATTCTAATTACTAAAGAGTATCTCAGTGTGAGAACTATTAAAAAGAAAACCTCACCTATGACCCAGCAATAGCACTGCTAGGAATTTACCCAAGGGATACAGAAATGCTGATGCATAGGGGCACATGTACCCCAATGTTCATAGCAGCACTCTCAACGATAGCTAAAACATGGAAAGAGCCTAAGTGTCCATCAACAGATGAATGGATCAAGAAGATGTGGTTTATCTATACGATGGAATACTACATGGCAAGGAGAAAGAATGAAATCTGGCCATGTGTAGCAACATGGATGGACCTTGAGGGTGTTATGCTGAGCGAAATAAGTCAGGCAGAGAAGGACAGATACCATATGTTTGCATGTATAGGAGGATTAGGAGGAACTTAACGGAGGACCATGGGGGAGAAGAAGGGGGGAAATAGTGGGGGAGAGGGAGGGAGGCAAACCATAGGGGTGGGGGGAGGCGGGGGAGATGGGCATGGAGGAGGGCACTTGTGGGGATGAGCACTGGGTGTTATATGGAAACCAACTTGACAATAACCTATTTAAAAAAGAAAAAAAAAAGACAAAAAAAGAAACCTCTGGCCCAAAATGGTGTTGACTTAGGTTAAGGCCCCAAGTCAGTAAATCCAGACTTAATACCTAACCTAACTACAGTTTCAATTCCCTAGGAATGTAACCTTTAACCGGTCAGTCAGGAATTTTCTGGTCAGCACCAATAAGGTAATCGGTCACATGGGACTTCTTCATCAGCCAAAGATGAGGTAATCCACCTACTAAAACCCTTGTGTCCTCAAACAGAGGCAACCTCACCTGAAATAATCCTTTTTAATGACTTCCTTGTCCTGCCTTTAAAAACCCTTTCCTTTCTGTAGCGCTCTACAGTGTAGACAGGATGCTGCCAGATTCATGAGCCGTTTAATAAAGTCACTTTGCCTACTGCATTAGTGACAGCTACCTGAGTTGTTTCCAGTTTGGGGATATTATGAAAAGTACGATCACTGCCATCTTCACACCTGTCTCTGGCAAACACACGACTCAATTTCTGCTGGGAACACAGCTGGTGTGGAGCTGCTGAGTTGCAAGAAGTGACCACGCTTCAGTGGTTAATGCCAAGGGGGACATTTGAACATGAGCTGTCGAACCTCCCAGACGCACTGAATGTTTTTCATTGTTATGAGGATACCTCCTCTTTGTTTCTGGAAATGTTCTTAAAGTCTGTTTTGTCTAATATCAATATGGCTCCACCAGCTTTTCTGGTTAGTGGCTACCTGATTTATCCTGTCTCCCATCTTTCCACCAGTACTGCACCCCACTATTCAGACATGTCTCTTTTAACCAGTAAATAGTTGTTTTTTATTTTCTAATTCAATGTGTCAATCTCTCTCTTCACTGCAGCATTTAGTTTAGTGACATTTAATGAAAGTTCTGATAAATTTTCTGCAAAGAATTTAGACAATGGAAGTAGCAGACATAGATTTTAAAACAGACCTTGTCCTGTGCCTGTGGTTTCTCAAGGTTACCTTGTTTCCTTATTGTGCATATTTTAAAATAGCAAAATTGCCTTTAAATAATTGGACAGTAACAACCCAATACTGACCAAGCTAGCTTCACATACTATCCAATCTTTTTAAGGGGGAAGATGTGTTAGCATGTACTGAACTGGAGTTACTATCAAAATATAAAAAGCATGACATAAGCTTTTAATCTTAATCCAATCTTATTTTAATCAAGACTGCATAACAGAAATATTTTTACCAACGTTTATGACTTGAATTCTTTTATAAGAAGTCAGTTTAAATCTGGTACTTGTAAAAAGGTCACAGTCTTCTAAATATACACAGCAGAGGCCAATCAATACTCCTGGGTGCCTCTTTTGAGATGTTATCAAATAGGACTCTTCCCCTTCCTTGGTCTCAGCAAAGATCACTTTAGTTCCAGGGATACACCTCCTGGGATTTTGCACACATTCCCTCTGAGATCCCCTCCCCGTGTCCCCATGTGAGTCCCTGCTGTTGCTGGCACCTGTGAAGGAGAATTGGGGGCCTGAGCTGCCTCTGCCAAAACAGACCTTACAGGTCTGGTTCTTACGCTCCTTCCCTTTTCAGGAGAAATCTTGCCCTTCTTGACATTCCCTGTTTTGAAGTTAGCTCTCTATAGTTTCGTATGTGCTGGAAAGGCTCACCCAGCAGCTGGCTATCTTGCTTTCATCTCTAGAATTTTGATGTTACAGTCTAGTGATTCTCAACCCTGGCTGTGTATCAGAAGCACCTGAGAAGTGAGTTAAAGCTACAGGTATCTGTGACTCCTGATTCAGCAGCTCTGTATGGGCGCGGGGGTGGCCTTGTCACCTCAACTCTGGAAACCACCCCCAGAGGATCCTCATGCTTAGCCAAGGTGAGACCCTGGAGCTACAGCATGTTCCCTGGACTAGGGGGTGAGCCCCTTTACTCTGCCTGCAAGAGCTAGGAAAGGCAGGTGAGTGGAGGTGTGGGGGCGGGCACTAGAGAGGGAAGGTGAGAAGAGAGGCAGAGCAAAGAAGTCATCACATCTGCACTGAAAAACAGAATCAGATCAGTGGAATCATATTGGTGGGTGGGGGGTAGATCTCAGAGAAGGAGGGGAAAGCAGAACGCTTAAGAGCTGCATGCTATTAGTAGTTCCCTAACCCAGTTACGTGATTTTCCATTGCCTGAAAAGTCCTCATTGGGCAGATGTCCTTTTAATCTTGTTTTCTCTTCCAGTCTCCATTTTATTAACTCTCCCTTATCTTAAACAACACCACTCCTTACTTTTATAGGACCTCTATTAACTTCAGTAGAATGAACATTGTCCGACCCACATAATCAATACTCAGAGGCGCAATAAAGTTGCACACACTGGCAGATCCCCTGCTGCCTTAGATCAGAAAGCAAATGTGGAGAAGAGGAAAGAGCTGTGAGTTACCAGAACTGAGTTAAAGGCGAGAGGGTCTGGGGCAAACATCAGAGGACTTCTCTAGATAAGACAGATTCCTGCCTGTGCTTTATTCTGGGTCTTCCCCTTGGGGCGCTTGGGTGGCTCAGTTGGTTGAGTGTCTGACTTCAGCTCAGGTCATGATCTCAAGACTGGTGAGTTTGAGCCCCGACTCGGGGTCTGCACTGAGAGCTGACAGCTCAGAGGCTGGAGCCTGCTTCGGATTCTGTCCCCCCCAACCCCCTTCGTGCATGCGCGCTCGCTCTCTCAAAATTAAATAAATAAACAAACGTATCCTGGGCCTTCCCCAGGAGGCTTTGGCACTTCTGCTTCTGTCCTGGGGCATTCCCTCTTTGACAGACTGACTTAGAAGCCTGATGGTCAAACAAGTTCATACAGTCATTAAAAAAAATTTTTTTTTAATGTACTGATCAGCTTCCAGGTTCATTCAAATAATCTTGAAGCCTCATTTAGAAATGTGATCCCCAAAATAACCCCCTTACCTGTCCTTATTATAACTTAACTTACAAATGACCTGAATGACTACCACTTAATGCATACTTTTACGTGACAGGGGCTCTACAAAGGGCTTTATGTACTTACATGTATGATTGGTATGTTATACATGTGTTACACGCATTATCTCATGAGAGCCTCACAATCACCCTGAGGGTGGTATCATCATCCCAATTAACAGGCAAAGGAGCTGAGCCTCAGAGACACCCACCCAGTGTGCTGCAGGGAGAGGCCTTCCTGGTGAGAGGCAGGGGGCAGTGAGGAACCAGTGCCGTCTGATAGACCCACAACACTTCCTTTCACTGTTGGGGGGGGGGGGGGCAGGGAGTGATGACCTTGAGCCATGGACCCTGTTCTGTAGTAATTCTGTTTTTTAGCTTCTTCTGAGGCTCCTAAGTACTTATCGAACACCATCTTTCTTGATAATTCCTCAATACAGAGCCTACGGATGTCCTCTCCGTATTCCACAGTGAAGAGGAGGGTGCACGTGACAGCCTGGGTGCTGTGTGAGGGCTGATGTGTGATGTAGGTTAAAGGCCCCGCAGAGGCCATAGTGACATGGGCAAAAACAATCCCACGATTAGGCAACAACATCTAGGCACTCTGGTGGCTCCTGAAGCGTTGGACTGGACTGGCTTTTCAGAAGGCCAAATCATTCGGATCAGACCAAGACTGATACAGCCAGCCAGATCTGACCATGTGACTAAACTAGGGGACTCAGAGTTCACGGGAGCAGTCATTCAGGGAGCTCGGCTGGGCAATGTGACCGGCCCCCAGAGGAGGGCTGCTTTCTTGTCCCCCCCACCTCCAGGGTGCTGCTCACCCAGAGGGTCTGCTCCGCATTAGAACAGAGCCTCACCGACAAACCAAAGCACTCACATTTTCTTGTTTCACTAAGAAAAGTGCCTGCTTGCTTACACTGGGCGGCCTGTCTATAATAAACTATTTGCGAGTGTTCAGGATTTTCAGAGGAACAGAATCCATTGCTTCTTACCCTTCCTTCCCTCGATTATGGATGGCTAGTTCTTCACCAATGCCCTCTTCCTCCTTGAAGCTCTCCCAGTCCAATTTGGACTTCTCTAGGGTGCTCATCTTCTGCTTCTTGGCTCCAATTTTCCCCAAAAGGGTGGTCATGCCACTTGATCTTTTTAACCTAGGGAAAGTGAAAAAATGAAATGTGTGAGCATATAAAAACGATCATCTCTTGATTCATGGTTTTTCTGGCTGTTGCAGGGCTCCCTAGATTTGAGTTTTTATCTTAATGGAAATGTTTTTTGTATCTAGACTACTTCCTGCCTGGTGTGGAGAACACTTCAGGTAGACCAGAATTTGAATGCACTGGTCTTGCTTAACATCTCTGATGGCTCTAAGGACCTAGAGATAGGAGATCCTAAAGTCCTCTGTTTGCTCTGTATGACAGGTCTCTGCTTGTAGGGAGGGGAGATGCGCAGCATGATTCAGACACGGCTTTACAGTCACATGCCTCTGTAGATACTCAGGCTCTGTGTGACCTGAGCCTACTTAACCATATCTGCCCTGGTTTCCTATAGCTGAGCAGGTGAATAGTTATTTACAGGGCTGTAGTGTGTCTTATAGGTAAAGTGCTTTAAAATAGCACCTGGCACAGAGTAAAGGTGTAATAAATGTCAGCCACTCTGAGTCACGGTCATCATTTGTGCCCTAAAGCCCCAGGGAACTCCTTTAAGAGAAAGAGAAACAGATCCCCAAACTGATGAGCAGCAAAGTATCTTCAAAAGACTCTAAGGTCAGTTTCCTTTCAACTCCTGTGAGTCAGGACCTTGGATTTTCCCAGGAGGTGGAGAACATTCCTCACCCTGAAAGGAGGGAGTATACAGCCTGTGTTCTATTTGCTGGTGACACGATCATGGACTGTGGGAGAAACCCCATACGCCCAAGTTCAAGTCTTGGCAGGTCACATGTTTCCAGTCACTGTTAAATGTAGGAGATAAAATAAGGAAAACAGAAATGCAGCTAGTTAGTAAGAAGGTGGTCTTAGGGGAAAGAACTATGGAAGGAACAGAGCTTTTGGTTACTTTATGAAACTAAAATATGTTGTATAGGACCATGCAGGAAACTGCTTTACTGGGATATGTAGAAGAGTCAAACATGTACAACTTCTATGAGCTAGCATCACAAGGCCTAATGATAAAATCGGCAGTAATACCTTTCACGTGCCTAGAATGCTAATTCTCCAAGTGCCTTCCTCACCATTTTCTCATCGTGCTCGCACTATGGCCGGGGAAGGAGGGCCACTGCATCTCCGAATTGAGGGAGGAGCCCTCAAGAGGGTCCAGCGTCACACCAACCCTTCTGAAACCCACCTCACTGCAGCACAGGGCCAGTGAAGGACACCCCATTCCAGCCTCCGAGCGAGCAGACAGGCCGGTGTCCACAATGAACACAAGACTCTGGGGGCCGAAGCATAAGCCTCCACACCCTCGCCCCATTCGTGTTGGTCAGGAGACGCTAGCTCTCCTGTTGCAGTCACATCCCACCACATGCTGTTAGCTTAAGATGGGCTCAGGACAGGCTGGACAGGCGTCATCGTCCTCATTTTGAGTTGGACAAATAAACAAAGTTCAGAGAGGTTAAATGACACAACAAAGGTCAAGCCAATAGAACATGTAGAGCAGAACACAACAAGGTCTTTCTGACTCCCAGTGTGGTGCTCTGCGCGGTCTCATGTCTAAGCTGAGAATTTATTGGAGATCTTTTCTGACAGCTATTTTACCTCCCAGTTTGCTTAAGAATTTTCCAAACAGCTATGATTTTTATTTCACATCTTCTAAAAATTCTTTTCCACATAAGTCACTTCCTATAACACTTCCATCAAAGCACGCACACACCACGCATGCAGCCAGGCTTTATTTTTACCAGGAGCAGAGCGTGAGTGAGGATACAGAAACTTAGCATGTCCTCAATCTTGTCCTCCTCCCTGGCCTCTCTGCCACCGCCCTGGTTCTTACTATTGTATCATCTCTTCCGGAGCACTCCGCAGTTTCTTTTCTGGTCTCCCTGACTTCTGTTTTGTCCCAGCTCACTAACCGTTCCACCCTGGCATCTATTCCACATGCTGTCATTAGGGTGAATTTTCTGAAACACAAAGCTTAGCAGTCTTTCTGCTTAAATGTCCATTACCTGACCCCTCATTGCTCGTGCAATAAAGACTACATTCCTTCTTTAAGAAAAAAAATTTTTTTTTAATGTTTTATTTTATTTCTGAGAGAGAGAGAGAGAGAGGGAGACAGTGTGAGCAGGGGAGGGTCAGAGAGGGAGATACAGAATCTGAAACAGGCTCCACGCTCTGAGCTAGCAGTCAGCACAGAGCCCGATGCGGGGCTTGAACCCACGAACCCTGAGATCATGACCTGAGCTGAAGTCAGACGCTTAACCGACTGAGCCACCCAGGTGCCCCATGAGACTACATTCCTTATTAAGCTGCAAAGTTCTTCCTGATCTTTCCTCACATCTTCCCTTGTAAGCTAAGCTTCAACCATACAGTTCTGAACCGACAGCTCATCTCCCACTTATCTGGTCTTGTCTCTGTTTAGGGGTCACTCCTCCAGGAAGTCTTCTCCGACCCTTCGCCCATCTCTGGATAAGATGCCTCCTGGTGGTGTTTCTAGGGCACCCATTCAAGTACTGATCCTTTCTGTAGCAGATGCTTGAGAGCTCTGATTCCAGCTACCGCCACACTGGGCACTTCTGAGCAGGCTCAGAGTCACTGCCAACAACTTCCGCCAAAAGCACGCACCTCGAGGCTTTCATTTTCTGGCTGAAGGGCCTCCTCTGATCCTGCCTACGTGTCCGGAGCCCTGGCTGGCCATGTGTGGAGTCCATGCCACTGGGGCCACCCTGGTGGAAGACAGGGGCTGCAGCTGCAAGGCCCAGCCTCCTGTCCTCACACAGGCAATTCTGGGAGGTCACCTGAATGCTTCTAGAAGTCCTGATGGCGAGGAGCCCTTGCAGCCTTGGAAACGCACTCTCATACTGGCTTTCCCTCCTGCCCCATCCCCTCCCTCTACCTCCTCACTCCTGCTGGCCGAAGACAGCTTCTCAACGAAGGACCCACACCAACAGACTTATCTGAGGCCCTCCTTTGAGGGGAATCTGATTGCTTAGGAGCAACACTGCTTTCCTTATGCGTGCTCCCTCTCTCTGAGGGTCCTTAAGCTCCGGGTCCCGGGAACCTCTGTAGCACATGGATTGAGATCTACAAACAACAGGCACTCAATAAATGTCACCTGGATCACAGAAACAATTAGAGGGAGATAATCAGATCTTTGTAGAATAAAGGGTGCTTTTTAAAAACTGGAGGATTTTAGGGGGAGTAATTTCTACTTGCCTTCGTTCACCATTCAGTTCCTAACAAGCCAGTCCCTCTTTGTGAGCTGTACCATAAGCTCTGTACACCATCTCCCACCCTCAGCCTAGAGCTCTGACAGTATTCCCAAACTATACCATTTTTCTGACAATCACTTTGAGAAGTCTGAGAAAATGATCTTTTGCAGCATTAACAGTGAAGAGTTCCAGAAAAGTAAAAAGCCATAATCTCCCTTTGCCTTACTTACCACTAAACATTGGCAGAATGTCACCTGTGCTAATATGCTTTAAGGGAAAGCTTCCAGGTCTGTCTTCACTGGATCATGAATGTGGTTTGTGATTTCCTAATCTGATAGTCTCAAAAGCAAAACTACCTGTCTTGTATTTGAGGCTACATCAAAGTGAATGACACATTTATGGCAGCAGCCAAAACATGTGGAGGCTCATCACGTTGAGACACAGAGGTCTCACTGGAGTTTGGCGCGTGGGGTGCCGGCAGGCTTGGGTGCGCTTCCACGCCCCACCACTCGACACGGGGCCGCAGCAGCACAAGCCCGGCATGGCTCCCTTACAGCTTTCAGGAGGGCACACCCACCATGGCCTCAGCCCTAGATCTGCTGCTAAGGTTCGTCAATCAGGCTTTAAGGAGAGCAGAGGCAGGTAAGAAAGCCTCAGCTTCTGGGCAAGGGTGGCTGGCTCTCCTGGCTGGGAAAGACCGCCGCAGTGGTCCTGAGAGGGGGGCTCTCCGGGAAGGAGTCTATCAGCACTGGCCTCCCAAGGACCTTTGACAGCTATGGGAAGGGAGAGGTCAGGAAGGGAGAGGCCAGAATTCCCTTGGGGACTGCTCTGCTGTCAGCAGGAACCAGTGCGGTGTCGGGCACCAGATCAACAGAGCCACTGATTTCTTTCTGTTCTGGGGATCCTAAGTCATGAGGGCAAGTTACTACCAGAGTCACCTTTGACAGACCACCTGTTCCCCCAGCCATGGCTTTTCGGGTCTTGATTCTAAAATATGGTGAGCTGTATCACAGAAGACTGGTACTTCATTCAAGAGACTCCTCATCCACCTGTTGCAAGGCCAAGTCCAAAGAAATGCACCATTCACTTGCTCATTCTCAGATTACATCCACAATGTTATACTCAGACATATCCTGCATGTTGTTACCAAGATGTTTCCAATGTAACGGTGGCCTTTCAACCCCCTCCTCCTGAATGCCACTGTCCTCTACTGACCTAACTACCCTAAGTTCGATGTAGAGACCAATCCTGTCCAAGCACATGGCCTTGGCTCACCTCTGCTCTAAAGCAGCAGGCTTTGGCACTAAGAGAGCATAGCCTAGTGCAGCGGGCTCGCTGGTGAAAGCGGCTCCTAGCAAGCCTTTCTCTGGTGCATTCGAGCTCGCTATCCCTCAGCAGGCAATTCTCTTCCATTCCCTTTCCCACCGTCCTATGCCCACACCCATGAAGACCTCACACACACAGATTCAGAAACTCCAAAAAGTAAAAGGACAAAAAAGGCAAAATGACAGTCATCTTTTTCCTTTCTCAATTCAAAATTTATGATAATCTGCTAGAACTTTCTCTGTTTCTCTTTAGCTGCAGAAATGGAAGTTTAACAAAATTCACTGCAACAAAGTGATAAAATCTATCCTGTTGAGTGTGTATACTGAGAAAGATATCAGTAACTTGTTTTCTTGGCTCCAGCCTCAGAAGCACAGACTCAGATTCACCCAGTCGATTCCGCTGGCTGCATTCATTTGTAGCAAAAGCACTGCTCTATCCAACGGCCCTCATGATGCTCCGAATCCT